AGAGGAAGTATGTTTTTGATTTGCTCTCTGAAACAGGGAAGATGGGTGCTAGACCAGTTGCTACTCCTATCGATATGAGCCATAAACTCTCTGCTTCAGATGGAATATTGTTAGAAGATAAGGGAGTCTTCTAGAGACTACTTGGAAAACTTCTTTATCTATGCATGACTCGGCCAGACATTGCATACGTTGTCAGTTGCATCAGTCAGTTCATGCATGCTCACAGGGATACTCATATGGCAGCAATAGAGCGGACTCTGTGTTATTTGAAGAGCTCCCCTGGAAAGGGAATTCTATTTGCCAAGCATGGCCATATGAAACTTGAAGCCTACACAGACTGGGCTGAAAACATTGATGACAGAAGATCTACCTCTGGGTACTGTAGCTTGGTGGCAGGTAACATTGTCTCTTAGAGGAGCAAGAAACAATCTGTTGTTGCTCAATCTTCAGCCGAAGCTGAATACCGAGCCATGGCACATGGAGTTTTTGAACTATTGTGGCTAGAATCATTAATGGAAGAACTGGGTATTGAACATGATAAGCCAATGATGTTATACTATGATAATTAGGTAGCTATCAACATTGCTCACAACCCAGTGCAACATGACAGAACTAAGCATATTGAATTTGACAGACACTTCATTCGAGAAAGTGTGGCTTCTGGTGAAGTGTGTTTACCTTTCATCACCTCTGAAGGACAGTTAGCAGATTTCCTCACCAARGGCATTCSCAAGGCTAAACTTCAGMATGATACTGGCAAGCTTGGCATGATTGACATCTATGCTCAGCTTGAGGGGGAGTGTAGAGAAGATGGGCCGAATGGCCCATAGGCTATTTAGCTTTTTTATCTTTTATGTTCTTTGCTGTAATGGGCCTTACTCTAGGCCTAATCTTTCTTATGTTATGTTTTTTAATTTTCTGCCCAACTAAGGGCCTCTCTGTAAATTATCAAAGTTTAACTTAATAAAATTAAATTAAGGGTGTAAGAGAGGAGATTATGTTCGAAATTCTCTCTCTGAACCCTAGTTGCCGCCACCTTCTTCTTCATCTTCTCTCTTCTAGAATTCTGATTTCTGCTATTTTCTCTTGCCTTTTTGCATCTTTCTAAACAGTCCTTTCTTCTCAAAAGGCTGTTTTTCTTCTACCACCATCATCATCCAAGCCTTATCCCAATTATATGGGGTTGGCTACATGAATCCCGTTTCACACTTTCACAACTCCTTTCTGTTTAATGCAATGTGTCACCCCAACAGTGGGGTAGGACAGGTTAAGGGTTGCATGGTTGGTCCTAGTTAACCATAGTTGACAATAAGATGGTTAAGGTTCTAGGTTTCGGTATATGGCACAAGAGCCATATGGTAAATGGTATGTGGAGAACTTTTGATGAAGTAAATGGTAAATTTAGGGCAGGATTTTGTTTAGACTAATTTTAGGGATACAATTAAGGATCTATGTAGGAGGACAAAGTAGGTGTTATTTGTACTTCCAAAAACCAATGAATGAGAATATGTCTTGCTGGCTAGTAGTAAAAGGTTTGTCTTTCTTTTCAAGGCGATATGTTGTCGTTTACTGTATATTTTATTTTAATAATATTTTTTATCTTTTTTCTAACAATGAGAGAGTGGGGCCAATTGATACTTGATGCCCATTTGTTGGGCTTGACTAAAACATCTTTTTATCTTGCTTCTTCCTGAGCATATGTTAGTGCATCCCATGGCTTTTTTCTGGAAAGTGCAATAATTGTTTAATAAAACTATTACGTTTGCAGGTAGATGCCCTTAAAGCAAAGGTAGCAGAACCGGAGTCAAAGTGTCAAGGTGTAAATAGAAGTGCAGAATTCATCAATGATTCCTAATTTTTATTAATGTCGAAATCCTTCTTGATTCTTAGTGAAAGACAATCTCATTGGGTTATGGTATTTATTATAAGCAGGTCACAAGGAGATAGGTGCAACTATTCCAAAGGAACTGCCTTCACATAAGCTCCCTTGTGAACAAGATGAAACACATAAGAGTCATACACCTTATATCAAGTATACGAAACTTGAATTCAAGGTAAATAGACTTGGTAGATATATTTTTCATTTCATTTGATTGGGGCCCTTTTGTCCCATCATGTGATATGGCCATTTATATTAATTGGCATTTTAATTGTTTATTTGACAAGATAGAATTTAATTGTTGATATGGTTTTAAATAGAATGGATTGGTGAAGGTGTAAAGCAGGATTCATGTAGCCGGCCCCATATAATTGGGATAAGGCATGGATGATGATGATGATGATGATGATGATGATTTGACTAGATAGAATTTATACTTTAGATTTTTACAAAGTATAATATTGTATATGGAACACTTAATATAATTTGAGATCTTATTTAAAATTGATTGTCTTTCAGGTGGATACATTCTTTGCAGTGGGATCACCTCTTGGTGTCTTTCTTTCCCTCCGCAATATTCGTATTGGAACTGGTAATATTAATGCTGAATCAAATTTCCGAGAACATTGGATTATTTTAGGTTATTGCATCTGTCTTAGAAGTTCAAGGGCTGTGATTATTTAAAACCCAAGGACAGAAAGCGTTTTGAATTTCTTTTGTAGAAACCCATCTTGTTACTAACTAATTATAGTTGGTCATTTGTTGTCATGTATCTGGTCATTATGACTCCATGTATGTCATGTTTTATCTTTTTCAATTTAAAAAATTCATATTCTCATAATATTAGTTCTCATTACAAAAAATGAAATATTAATTTAACAATCAGATAATATATACAATATTGTTCTATTTTATCTATTCAACATCATGCCTGTTTTGTTTGGATGTTTAACTTTTCTATTTCTGTGTTTTCTTCATGTTCATCAAATGAATAACTTCTTTCCTTATTTTAAATATACAAGTCCAGAAGTTGGCGTTGCATAGACTAACCTAAATGGATGGAGTGTCCATGTCTGGCACACATTGGATTCCAGCACGCCATTGGTTCTTGAGGGATATTTCTAAATTACAATTTTCTTTCTCTCCTCTTTGAAATAAATGAACAGATAATGTTCACAATGAATGGCATTTTTGCTATAAAAATTATTGGTATAAAAATGAACTTTTAGACCTTTTGTTTCAGTATATAATGTTAGAGTTAAAAAAAATATGGGCTATTTTAATATTTTAGACTTTTCTAGACATGCATTAGATTCTAATTCTCATGTCTGTGTCCATGCTACACTGCAAGAAATGCTTCATAATAATGTCAGAAATTAGAATGTGACTACATGATTGTAGAAATGGAGAAAGTGAATCCATGGTACTTTCTTTTTGAAAATTTGATATTTAGTTCCAGTTTCAAGAGTTGGCAGAAAGGACATACATGGAACAAAATTTATAAAGATATTTAGAAAGAAATACAAAAGACTTGTAAATATATTAAGAAGAAATGAGAAGACGGATGGTATCTAGGAAGTTTAGACAAGTATTAGAGAAGAAATAGGAACAGAGAGGTAACTCCATTTCAATGTTTTGACAATTCCTTCTTTAGATATCATTGGAATATCAAAATCACAGAAATTTTCCAGAAGATACACTTGTTTGAAGGAAATAGAAATCACAGTCGCTCCTGATGTCAGGTAAATCAATCATGGTTTTCAACATAGACCACTAATTTTATGAGGGAAGTTTGGACCTAGTATGGTCTGAATTGTGATTTTGCTTAAATTAAGGAAGAAATTGAAGAGAAGTAGTTTGGATTTTGGAAGAAGTTTAGACCTCATCAAGGGCCTATCTACTTCAATATTTTTGGTATGGCCATGCTAGACAAGGTTCTAGGCTATATTAATGGCACCTGGTTTACACTTCAACTGTTCTTCAAATTATGCACCAAAATCAAATAGAAGAATATTCGACCAAAGCAATTGAGTACCTTGATGTGGAATGTCTTTCATCTGGCAATACTTGGCCAATCAGCAGCAATGAGTGTCTCTAACCTAAGGTGTCCATTACTAACCAATATGCTTTTTCAAGGTGATCCTTTTAAGTACAACAACCTCAGCTGTTTGCAAGCAATAAATTAACTTATTGCATTCATTGCATATGAAATATCAGGCTTGATCGCAAAAATAACAACCTCCCAATCATTCTCTATATCCCATTCTTCCACTGCTTATTCTAAACTTCCTTTTTGTCCTTAAAAATACGCCTTACTGATAAGAAAATTGAATACAAGATCCAAGATATCACCATGGCATTCTTGAAGTCCTACTTCTGAACTTGAGGTCATCCTCATTGGTTATTTTATTTCCCCATTACCTTGTTAGCATCTTTAACTAATATAAAGATGAATTGATTGTGACCACTCTGTGTAGTTTCTTTTGGCTCCCCTGAGCCATTTTTCAAACTTTCAAAATCTAAACTCTTGACTCCTGTTCACCTGAAGTCTCAGGATGAGATGGTGTTCTTTTCAGTGACAAAGATAGTTAGACAGAAGTTGAAAGGGTGTGCTTTGCCTTCAAACACCCAAAGAATTGTATTATATATCATGTGAGTACAAAAGAGAGAAACGGCTATTGTACCCTTATCAAAAATATCAGAAAAATATTGGAGATATTTGAGAAGAAAAAACATTCCTGGAAAATTTCATATTGCCACCTAGCAAAATGGGGATATTTTGGGGATATATTGCCAATATCGTTGATATTTGGAACCATGGTTGGGATCAGTTCTTGTAAGGTATCTCTCTCAACTGCGGCCTGTTGTCTGAGTAACAAGGAGATTCAGGTGGAGGATACTCTGGAATTACTCACCTCGGTCTTTCTTCTGATGAGGGACAAGCAGCATCTTTTGATACCTTTTGATTCTAACAAAGTTGACCCCAAGCTCATTGAGAACAAAGTGGATTCTTTGATGAATTTTGGGTTGATGATAGGTGTCTATCTTCCAAGTGATGCTACAGAGGCATGCAATTTCTTGAGGTCTAAGCTTCTGGTAGATCTTGGGAAGCATGATTGCCCAAGTATGAAGGGGATGGGGTGTTTAAGGAACAAGTTTCTGATTACAGTACGGATTTAGGCTGGTCCTATGACAGATTGGATTGCCTTCCGAGATGCAGGAAGGTAAAAACAACTTGCAGATTTGTACAATATGTGGTTTTTGTAAAGCAGAGGAGTGGTGCATAGAAGGTGTTGTTTTAACCTTTGTTTTGTGTAGAGAACACTGATGTGGGCCCCACAGCTACGGTCCCACTGTGTTCGTAGGGTAGAAGGTGTTCTAGTCTTTCTAGGGTTAGCTGGTGGCCAGTTAGTTATTTCAGTTGTTATTTATTTCAGTCTTATTTTGTTCTATTTGTTATGTAAATACTAAGGGCAGATCTGTCCTTTCCATGTAATGAGCATAACCTATAAATACTAAATAAAGTGGCGGCGGCAGAACATTAAGCTTCTGTTCCTCCTTTCAACTCTTGTGTTCTACTGTTCTCTCTTCTCTTTCTCCTCTCTTCCCTAAACTTTTTCTTCTATTTTCGAACCTGAAATCCGTTAGGGTTCAAGACTGATAGCAGTCCTGAACGTCTACTTGGTATCAAAGCTAGGGTTTCTCATGTGACTCTAGTCCAGCCGACCACATGAGAACCATCTAAGGCTGGAAGCTGAGAAAGTAGAGTTCGTTGACTGATTCTTGGAGATCGCTAGAGGGTTTAGCAGATGTTTGAAGATTTTCCACGGTTGCAGAGTGTTGGTGATCAGGAAGAATCAGAGAAGGCTAGGGTTCGGGTAACCTTGGAAGGCAGCGAACARCATYCTMTTGTAAGTTTTTTATTTTCTGAGAGAAGTACTATCAGAGAAGATAGGTTGGACCTATCTAGAAAGGGCGGCTGAACCACTCTAGGGTTTTCTTCCTTCTATTCTCTAGGGTTTTGTCTTAACCCTGCGGCAAACCTTAATACTGGGCCAAACCTTGTGATCTACCTGTGAAACTTTTCTTAAGATCTCTTCTCAACATTGATCAGTTTTAGGGTTTCATATTAACCCTACTACAAGTCTTATCCGTACGGTACTGCCTGGAATGTGTGGCTGAGAATTTGCTTTTAAGGACTGATTAAAACCCTAATTCTGCTTCAGCATATCAGATTATTCTCCAAGCTTTTTTCAGATTATTTTTTGGGGGCTTCGAACTCTTCTAAGGGGTGAAAACTGTACGGACTGTTGYTGTTGTGTTTGCTAATTGGTTTCAGATCAGACTTATATCTGTTTCATGCACATCTACCGTGAATACAGATTGGTTCTATACTGATTTTGTGATTGTGGTTGATAGTCCAAGTGCTGTTTTTGATTGTAGTAACCCTAATTTTGAGACTACTGGTTCTTCACCGAAATGGAGTTTAAGAATCAGGCAGAAGGCAGTTTTGGGAACAACAGTTATGGTGGTGTTTCAGAGACAGGTTTTTAGATTACAACCGTAAGATTTGATGGATCAAACTATTTGGAATGGGCCCAATCAGCCATGATGGCTATTGGGGGAAGGGGTAAAGTAGGGTATCTCTTGGGAGATGTGAAAGAACCCTCCAAGGGAGACCCCATGTATACCAAGTGGGTCCAAGAAAACTACT